GCGCCAAAATGTGCTTTGATATTATTTTATTGATGAAAATAATTGGTCTGAGAGTTGAAAAAAAAGAAAAAGGGGCGCTAAAAATGGATCTTGTCCCTGGGCGCGAATCTTGTCCCCGGGCGCCAAACACTCTCGCTACGCCACTGGTCGAGAGTAGGCCTATATTTTTTATTTAGAGCCTTTTCAATTTAACGATTGTATATTTGTGTAATTAAGCCGATTTCTGTATCAACATCAATAATTAACTCCTAAAACAAAGATTTTCGTATATATCCTTTATATGAATTTTTTGTTTGCAATTATGGAATTGTTCGTTGGTTATCATTTATCAAGAAGTGGTTATGTAATTGGGTAAACGTCTGGTATAAAAACGTTTCATATTTCCTTACATTTCGCCCTTCAAAAATACATATTATTTTCACTGCATACCCAAATATGTGATTCATAAATACAAAGCACATAGCAACAGCTACACAGTTAATCTCCACACCAAAACACGCACCCATTGAACAAATCATAGTTCAATTATCTTCCCCTTCAAACACCGGAAAAAGTTTTCATTTCCTTTTTTTTTTTTTTTTTTGGGGGTGGTGGGGGTGTAGGGTTTAGGGTTGGGACTGAAAGTTTGAAATAATTTGTTGTCATCAGCAACGAGTGTATGAGCCAAGTTTCAGCTCGATAGGGTGAAGGTTTTGAACAAATCATAGTTCAATTATCTTCCCCTTCAAACACCGGAAAAAGTTTTCATTTCCTTTTTTTTTTTTTTTTGGGGGGTGGTGGGGGTGTAGGGATTAGGGTTGGGACTGAAAGTTTGAAATAATATGTTGTCATCAGCAACGAGTGTATGAGCCAAGTTTCAGCTCGATAGGATGAAGGTAAAAAGGTTAAGTGGCCGTCAAAATTTTGTTTTTATCATAAACACAGGAACAAAAGCGAAGTTAATAACGAAGGCTTTAAAAAGGAGAGAATTAAAGCTAACAAAAAGCTTGCGTCTTTGAAAGTTTCTCGGAATGTTGTACTGCTCAAGAATATTGTACTACTTAAGAATATTATAGTATTCAAGAAGTTTATACTACTCAAGAATGTTGCACTACTCAAGAATGTTATACTACCCAAGAATGTTGCACTACCCAAGAATGTTGCACTACTCAAGAATGTTGCACTACCCAAGAATGTTGCACCACCCAAGAATGTTGCATTACTCAAGAATGTTGCACTACTCAAGAATGTTGTGCTACTCAAGAATGTTGTACTACTCAAGAATGTTGTACTACTCAAGAATGTTGTACTACTAAAGAATATTATACTATTCAATAATTTTATACTACTCAAGAATGTAGTACTACTAAAGAATTTATATTTCTCAAGAATGTTTTACTACTCAAGAATGTCATACTACCCAATAATGTTGTACTACTTAAGAATGTTGTACTACTCAAGAATGTTTTACTACTCAAAAATGATGTATTTCTTAAGAATGTTGGATACTCATGAATGTTGTACTTCTCAGGAATGTTGAACTACTTACTAATGTAATACAACTCGTGAAAATTCTCCTTTCTGACCAAAAAACCAACAAACAAAACAACAACCGATAGAGACAATTTATAATCTTATGAATAATTACTTTCATTGAAACGGAATTTATGTGGAGAATCGTGTGGGACTGAGTCGGATCTTTCTCAGTGGATTGAAAGCGAACAGGATCTTTTGAGAGGCTAAAGCAGTGATTCCCAAAGTGGTCTATAGCGACCCAAGGGGTCGACAACAACTTGCAAGGGGTCCATGTCAGAGAAAAAAAAATGGGGGGTGCATGAAATGAAAATGGGGTCAACGAGTTTTTAAATGCTTTTCCATCCTTAAACCTAGTGGAAAGGGGTTTCAGCGCACTTACCCAATCTCCTCAAAAAAAAAAAAAAAAAAAAAAAAAAAAAAAAAAAAAAAAAAAAAAAAAAAAAAAAAAATGGGGGGTGAAAGAAAAGAAAAAGGGGTAAACGATTTTTTAAATACTTTTCCAACCTTCGACCTAGTGGAAAGGGGTTTCAACGCACTTAACCAAACCCCTCAAAAAAAAAAAAAAAAAAAAAAAAGAAAAGAAACAAACCAACTGGACATCATAAACCGAGGAGATTTGAGATTAAGCCAAACTGAATTGATGCCAAATGGTGAAAATTTATTATAAAAGAATCAGGGCCATCCCTCACACTAAAAGCATTTATTTTTTGCTTGCTTATTTTATGTAACAGAAAGTAATTTTAATTTGGTTCGTTTTAATTTGAATTTAATTAGTAAATGTATAAAACCTAACCTTGTTTTTAAAAAAGTTTTTTCACAATACACTTCACAAACGTTATCAATTTAAATCTTTCGAAGTGAGTAGCACTACACCGGCTGTCAAATATACATTTGAAGTTTATACATTTGCAAATAATCAATATCAGATCTACCCAAAGCCAAAAAAAAAAACATGACAAAAGGTTTATGAGGCAAAAAGTTTGGGGACCTCTGGGCTAAAGGTACATTAAGTATTATTCTACATAAAGCAAATGTGTTAAGCATGAATCACAGAATAGGGTCATGTCAAGGAAGTTGTATTCCAATAGACTTGCCCGGCCCATTGTTTCAACGCCTGCCTTAGATAAACTTTCACCCTGTGCCAAGCACCAATAAGGCGCCCCCTCCCATGTTCCTGTATGGCTCCGCTCTTTATCCGATTACGACGTGGACTATGGAGCACGTGTTATGATGCCATACATGTAGCTAACCATACGCATTTTAACATGCACATTAATTTAGACTGTTTAGTTTGTATACGGTACTAAAAAATAAACTAAGGGAATTTAAATGTTTAATGGGTGCCCCAGGCGCCCCTATGGCCACGGTGCCCTGTGCGAGGGGACAGGTCGCACACTCTAAAGTCTAAAGGCTGACGTTTATTGTTTGTTACAGTTACTCAACATTTGAACACAATTAACGGTCAACATGTAAAAGTTGAACGTTCGATACTATCGTTAACCAGAGACTAGTGTTAACCCCTGGATGCCTATAGTACAGCTTTATATTTTGCTAAAATGTTGCTATAGTTAATCCAGTTACAGACAGGGGGAGAGCTGAGACGTTCAATTTGTCCCTTTCTAATTAGAAACGGTATGTTAAACAAAAAATATTTAAAGGATTTATTAATTATTTTTTTTTTTTTGTAAACCGGGAGGAAGGGATTAGTTACATAATTACAAAACATATTTCAATCCTTTTTTTTAAAAAAGTTTCTTTGAGTAAAGTGCCACAAACAGCTATTATACTAAACACATGTTTTACTGTTAATAACGTTTCCCCAAACTCATGACCTAAATTCATCGTTGTTCAAGCATCATTTGACCTGGTATATCACACGTATAAAGGGGAGATTTTCAGCAAAACCGCCAAAAATAAAATTTAAAAATTCCTAAAATACTATTTAATAGTATTCTATCCGATGGAAAGAGTCCGTCAAATACCAAATCTAAGCAGATCTATGAACTGTTCAAGCTAATGCCTAAACCAAGATCTGGGCAAGAGTCAACTCCATAGATAAAGAATGTAAAAACAAAAATTAGTTTGGAAAATTTCACGAAACACCTGCAATAATTTTAAATAATTTTCAGTATGCCATAAAAATTCTGACCCAATTTCTAAACCGGCAGAACAAACATTACGTCATAAGTCATAGATAAGCAAGGCACATAAATAACTATTTAAATGGAACGATCTATTATTAGCCTTCTGGAAATTACCCACATGAAACGCGCAGCGTCACATAAAGATAACATTACACTTATATTTGAGTTATACGCCGTCATAAATGTGACAATTGACACATTCTTCTAGTTGTAGAGACGCATTGAATTTATACAGCCCGTTAGTTATTGCAAACAGTTAAGTGGGCGGCCAGCAATATCTCTTGAAAAGAGACAGTTTAACTAACGTGTTATGCGGAGGAATGACTTTGAGACATTAACAGAATCCACTCAGACGCTATGGACAATTCTGACGCCTTCGGGTGTATGGCGGTGAGAGCGCCCGGGAAACCCATCCACTTATGGAGTGGAGTGCGAGCGTCTTCCGGCGACGTCTCCCTTTTGGGCGTTAGAGTTAGACACAAGAAGCAGAGAGTAGTTCCGGAAAATGAATTAGACACAAGATGCAGAGAGTAGTTCCGGAAAATGAATTAGACACAAGATGCAGAGAGTAGTTCCGGAAAATGAATTAGACACAAGATGCAGAGAGTAGTTCCGGAAAATGAATTAGACACAAGATGCAGAGAGTAGTTCCGGAAAATGAATTAGACACAAGATGCAGAGAGTAGTTCCGGAAAATGAATTAGACACAAGATGCAGAGAGTAGTTCCGGAAAATGAATTAGACACAAGATGCAGAGAGTAGTTCCGGAAAATGAATTAGACACAAGATGCAGAGAGTAGTTCCGGAAAATGAATTAGACACAAGATGCAGAGAGTAGTTCCGGAAAATGAATTAGACACAAGATGCAGANTATTTTCTACCCAACCCTTCATGACAAAGGAACGCATATTAGACAAACACACACAATTAATTGTTTAGACGTCCATGATTAAGTCAAAGACTCCCCCATTGCTTTTTTAATATCTTAATATTTAAAAAAAAAATAGTTTTTAGTAATTGATCGGCTGGGCTACATTATACATGTTTTTTTTTATTTTTTAAAGCTGGATAAATATTGTTTTGCAAAATGTAACTGTTTAAATGAAGAGTAAGCCAATATTACTGAACACATGAAAGACTTTCAATTGAAATTATTCTTTTTTTTTTTCTAAAACGCTTAAAATTGTATAAATTATCTACATTAATAACATCTATAATGATTTTCAAATTTCATATTCCTATGGTATATGAAGGGCTGGGTAGAAAATAAGTGTATTTTTGCAGTTTTCAGAAAAATGAGTTAAAAGTTTTTAGATTCTTATTTAAATACATTAAAATATGCTCGAGGTATTTCTCAATCATACACTTAAGTATATTTTTCATGAATAATATTTAAAGGAATGATTTTGGGGAAGTAATGAAATATATAACGCCTTTCTTAACTCATTTTGAAAAATTGTTACTTAAGTACTTAACATACTACAAAATTAACAGTACTGAACAGAAAAGACAAACACTATTTCCTTGCCGTCATCAGGTCATTTATTTCGCCTGACAGAATCTATCATACGCACCATTAGCGTGTTGATTAACCACGGTATGTGTAACGTAAACGTTAACAGTGTGCACCGCCTCGCTGTAGACTGTGTTCATATCTCTCACGTAGTGCTTCAAACAGAACACTGAACCATACTTGTTGCAGACTCCTGTAAACGGAGACTAATTTCTCGCGAAATGCAGGTATAATTCTTTGCAGATCTTCACAGTTGAACACACTAATCCTTTAAAAAAAATTCCTTAAATGATGTGGTGTGCGATCAGGTGGCGAAAGATCGTAAGATAAGATGGCGTAAGACCAGGGGAGTTAAACTGGAATTGGAAGTCAGTCACACTTGAAATGATTGGTCCAGTAAAAGTTCTTCTGCAGCATGGCAATAGACTCTAGAGCGGTTTGAGTGATCACCCCCGTCCTGCTTATACCACTGTCTATCCGCGTGAAGTTTTCTTGCACGGCAGAACCTTCTCAAGTCATGAAGAAATGTTTCGATCACCATGCCTTCTCCTAATTGCGGCCTGATATTAATGAACTGTTTACTGAAATGGTACACTATAGCTTCACACGTGTAATGTGTAGCGTTTTCTGGATAATACAATCTGGACGCTCAAAAACATAGAAAGCGAGTTGTCTGGCGATTGATGTATACGTCTAAGTGAATGAGACTTTCGTACAAGGAACCATACATTCCTAAAAAATATATATGGAGTCTCGTTCACCATGACGAAAATGCTCCACAGCACATCATCCTAGCTGGCACATCTGATGTTCAAGCGCTGTTCAGCCTGTATCCAGTATGAAAAGGCACCTACGTCATTCGAAAAACGCCGAACGGACGTTTTGCTTATATTCAGTTTCAAAGATGTTCGTCTTATACTTCGTATGGGCGAATATAGAATCTGCTTCAGAAAACGTACGTTTTTCTTAGTTGTCTAAAAAGTCATTGACCGACCAGCCTTACCCTTCCGTTTAGACAGTACACTTCAAGAAAAGCGAAATTTCTTAACAATAGAGGGCTTAACCGCTGGCGCCGTCTTATTAAATCTCTATCGGAATTCTTATACGTTTAGAGACCCACATCCAACATCAACTGCCCAAACACAGCTTCCTTGAAATGTCAGGGAATACATGTGGCTGGAGCTATGCACCGTTTACAAACGCACGTAATCGATCAAGATGTGTTGCCGTACTTTTACTTTATGCGCATAATGTTTTTTAATATTTTTAAAATCTTAACGATTTCGTACATTTTTAGGATACATTTTTTATCAAAGTTTATGTTAATTTAAAATGATTGTAATGTATATCTCAATACGTACGACAAAATGTGACACCCTTAGTGTATCATGTTACAGAAATGATAATAATAATAATTTGAAGGTGTAACAACTCATTCCCTCAATACTCCTCAGAACTCCTTCCCTCATCCATAACCTAAACTCCTCCCCACATCCGTCCCAAGATCCCATCCGTTAACCGCTCCCATCAACTCCAAACCTAAAATAACCCCCCCCCCCCAAAACACTAAACATCACTTATAATTAACAAATATTATACCACATTTGCATTTCTTTCTATTTAGTCAGTTTTGACAAATTTGTAAACTGCCGACCTATATTTGATTGAATCGCAAAGAAAAGTAAATCTCAGCGACTTGAATCGCTGTTAGGAAAAACAAACAAACATCACTTATAATTAACAAATATTATATCACATTTGCATTTCTTTCTATTTAGTCAGTTTTGACAAAACAGAATATGTTACTGAAATAATTCTCATGTCAATGATTATATAGCCCAAAATTACTCCAGATAGTCTAAATAATAGAAGACATCATTCTAGCTTCGCTTAACTCATTATGTCCTTAGTAATATATAGGCGAATAGTCCACTTCAGCTACGTGCTCAACTCCTTATGTTCGTAGTAATTTATAGGTGAATAGTCCACCTCATCTTCATCTGGTATTTCATCGTTTAAGATTTTGTTCAACAGGTAAAGAGGGTCATCATTTTTTCCCCTTTCAAAATCACTCCTGTTACCTGATACAACCGAAGATAGTCCCAAATCAGAATATTTCCCCCCGTCAGATGATTGTCCCGAATCTGAAGACGGCCCAAAATTTGAATGTAAGTATTCGTTTTCTGGAAACGAGTATGGATCACTTTTCCTGGAATTATTCTCCGCGTCCCCCGGAGTTGTGTAATCGTCCATAATGTCATTTGGATTATTTGTCGGTGGGAAAGCCATGACAGGATAATCATAATCGTCTGGTTTCGCAACTGAGGCTGTAATGTCAGGATTAGACGATAAATCAATCACAACAACATGTTCATAAGTGCCTGTTAGTCTGTTGTCACTTATCGCGCCGTCGTGATTCGTAAGACCATTCTCTGATTCAGGACCTTCGAGCTCGTAAGATGTCAATTTATTATCAGACGGCCTTGACATTGGTTGTCTTAGTTTCGGATCCTGCCTCTGTTTCAAAAGTGTGTCATAAGGGTTTTTCAGGTGCTTCTGCTCTAGTCGTAACTTTGAATAATCATCATCATCACCATCATCCCCATCGCCAATGTAGATTGTTGACATGGTGGACCCATCGTCGTCATCACTTACAGGATATATATGTTCGTTTTCCCCCATGTTGATATCACACGTATCGGTGTAACTTTCTGTGGTCACTTCAGCATTGTCCTTGGGCGGTGTAAACGACTCTGATGTTTCTCTAACAGAGCTTCCTTCAGCATCTCTTAATTCTTTCTCAAATAAGTTCGCGCCAACGACGGCGTATCCAAGATTAGGGGGCTCCTCTGAGTTTTGACCGCGCGGTCTGCCAGGTTCAGCTTGACCCGGATCTCCTTTCGGGCTGGAGTTATCACGGTCGCGCATGGATGGTGTCGGCAGTACGGTCGAGTAGACGTTTGGTGAGCTCAGTCTGGCTTCGGGCGTTTTACGCTTCGGCGGCGTCTCGTTCTTTCTCGCACGGCTCCTGCACATCAATCCTGCCACGACCACGATGACTAGTACTAGGAATATACCGACTGACAATCCCACGATAATGCCGACGTCAAGCCCGTCTTCGCTGAGATTTGATTCCGTTCTTACACAAACAGAATCACTAGCCAGCGAGGCGTTGTCCCCAAGTGGATCTGCTGTTTGACCACTGTACAGGTTGAAGGACATTGCGTCACATGCACTCGATGTTTTCCGAGAAACGTTCAGAGGCGATCTGCCGCAAGCAGCTTCTTGTTTATCTGAAGCACAAGAAGAATTCTCACGGCAACACGTGAGGTTGCCAATCGTAGAGTTGCTTATGACCGTCACTTGACATATGAAGCTCATTGTGTAGTTTGTAGATTGCGTAGATTGGATAGATGTTAAATAATAGAATTGCTGTCGGTAGTGTGCTATACTGAGGGTGCACGCCGAGAAGGACTCGTTGCAAA